AGTAGGGAGTTCGGGCTCCTTGTTCGGATTGCTGGTGGGGAGTTCGGACTGCTGGTTTCCTCCCTTTGGTGCTTGCGCCCTGGGTGCGCTGTTGTGCCGAGCTGTTTGCCTTTGCCACGTGTTGAGTGATTACGAGGTCTGGCCAAATCTTCCTTCATCAGAATCTATTATAATGATTTGGTTATGTGATTTGTGCAGATGAATAATTGGGTCAGGGTCGGTTCTTATTTTAAACCATTTAGACCCGAACCAATTGAATAGTTGATATATGAAGATCTCTTAATTTATTTGTATTTTATATCTAAAAGCAAGATTCAAAGTATCGATAAAAGATGTACTAGTTTATGTTAATGTTATTTTAAATATTTTATTTATTTATTTTTTTCAAAATCAGTTTAGAGGAATCGATTTAAGTCCCATCTACTTTTGAACCATAATCTGACCCGATACAACTTCTATAAAGGCGTATTGAAAAACTCCCGACACTATACATATCGATACTTTCTAAAAGAGTAAATTTCATAAATAATACATAACATGAATATAATTAAAAGTATATTTCATCAACATATTTTATCTTCAGTTGTATTGAAATTGTATTGTCAAAATAAAGTTCTAAATCGACATCATCATTGGTAATTATATAACAAAATGTATCATGTATAATGGGTCAGACCCAATATTGATTTGGTTTCGGGTCCTTCATATTATTCGATCAATTACCAGAATTGATACATCCTGTTCCGAACCAGACCCGACCCATTCGATCAATAACCAGAATTAATAATTGATTTGGTTTTTGATCATTCCTACTTTTCGATTAATAACCGGAACGGGACTGATGCACCTTGTCCCGAACCAGACCCGACCCTTTTGACACATTGCAGCATTCAGCATCGAAACGCATGTAGACTTTATAGAATGGCTAGATATAGGCTAATTATATGGTTCGGGTTGGATTGGATAACTCATCGGAAGTGACATTTCGGGTCGGTCCACGCCCAACCGGAACAGTTGGCGGAATGTCATTTTCGTAAATTTGAATTTAAGGTCGATTGGGGACGATTGAAGATTGATGAAGAAAAGAACACGACGTCTCAGTCTCTCCTACCGTGTGGCGTCTTTCTATTCTGCTTCTGCACCGAAAGTCTCAATTTTTTTTTTAAATTTTTTTCCGCCTCTCTTTCCTTTTCAATGGAGGCCCACGCAAGCGATCTCACCTCCTTTACGACATTATCCTCTGTGTTCGAACCTACAGGAGCGTTGAAATTTTGCTTCCTTTTCAAACACTACTTAATCCACCTCCAAACACAGAGAGAAAGAAGGAGATCATCTCAGGCCGGTGTTTTACTCAGATGGAGGTGAAGAGGCGAACGGCAAGGTCTCTGGTGCAGAGGCTGAGTTCCGTTTCAGAACAAACCCAAACCGAGGCGATATGCGAGCTTCGTCTCATCTCCAAGCACGACCCGGATAGCCGTTCCTTCATAGCAGAAGCTGGCGCCATTCCTTACCTCACCGAAACCCTCTATTCCTCCTCCACCGTCGCCCAGGAAAACGCGTTGGCTACTCTTCTTAACATCTCCATCTCCAACCGCGATGTTCTCATGTCCACTCGCGGCCTTCTCGATGCGCTTTCCCACGTTCTCCGCCTCTCCACTTCGACCCCTGCCACCGTCCAAACTGCCGCCGCGACCCTTTACAGCCTTCTCGTCGTTGATGAGTATCGACCCATTATTGGCGCCAAGCGGGATATCATCTTCGCCCTTGTCGACATCATTCGGAACTCCAATTCACCTGCGAGGTCGATCAAGGACGCCCTTAAAGCCCTCTTTGGTATCTCGCTTTACCCGCTCAACCGTGCTACCATGGTTGAATTGGGTGCAGTTCCTGCCCTTTTCTCGCTTGTGGTGAAGGACGGCCGGATTGGGGTTGTCGAGGATGCTACGGCGGTGATTGCGCAGGTGGCCGGGTGTTTCGAGAGTGGGGATGCCTTTCGGAAGCTGTCGGGAGTGGGGATTTTGGTGGATTTATTGGATCCGACGACGGGTTCGACGGTTAGAGTGAGGGAGAACGCGGTTTCGGCGTTGTTGAATCTGGTTCAGTGTGGAGGGGAGAAGGTTGTGGAGGACATTCGGGAGATGGGTACAGGAGTTTTGGATGGAATTGCAGAAGTTGCGAAAGATGGTAGCGCCAAGGCGAAGGGTAAGGCGAGCATGTTGTTCAACGTACTTGATAGAGGAGGTTTTAATGGCGTGAGGGATCCACGGTTTGGTTTTGTTTTGGAACAAGCAGCCTGAACTCTGAAGTTTCTTACTTTCCTACTCTGTAATTTAGATAACGATAACACTGTTTTTCTTTTTGTTTTCCATTCTTATTTTTGTAGTCATGCTTGGGTGGGTGAGTCTTGTATAAACTTTTTATTGATTATATGTGTTTCATTTCTTAATGGATTCCATTAGGGATCACTTCCTCAATTCCAAGTCGAATTGTATATTTGATACAGAAACAGTGAACATACATACGATAAGCATTGAGATTTTTTTTAATTATTCTTATTGTCATTATGAATTTGAAACACTTACAATCAGTTCATCCTCTGAAACCCAGGGTTAATCAAATCACATGGATGCCTGATCCATCCTTTGAAAACCATGGTTATCTTAATTATCAGAACTGTTTGGTTTACTTCCCACACCTTTGAGAGACTTTTATTTTATTTTATTTTTGTCAAACTGCAATCACGATTCACAGGTAATTGTTCATATAAAGTTTTTGCCACTCTGTTGGGTCATTTTGCTTTGGAAGGAGCTCTAGTCCAAAATGTGGGAGGTCATGCTTGGTTTCTATCTTCAGTGGTATTCTGTAAGAGACACGTGCTTAAGCAACTGAGGTTGTATCAATTTCTATAAAGTTGTTTATTTGCAAAAGTTGCCGCAAATCATTTTTGAAAGAATTGGAATCTACAAGTATGTTTTGACTTTGGGGAAGTTTCACACTTGTATCTAGATATGGTTATTTTAGTCAACTGGGCATTCTTACAGTCTGATGATTTGTTTCAGTGTCCCATTAAACTGAAAAGAAGAGATGCTATGACCTATATATTCCTTCTTATCAATGGGGGAAACAGTTGGTAATTGATTAAATACTTTTACCATTTGAGTATCATCTGCAGTTCTGTTACACACAACAAAACTGCCTCAAGAATTTGGACTATGAATTCATGATGCCTGACAGGCAGCAACAAGAACCATTTGTAGATAAAGTTACTAATTACAGATATAATAAGCCAATTACCCAATGTCGGTCCCAGCTATTATGGGGAAGGGTGGACGGGATATAGACCTAACCTTTGGCATTTTTTTTTTCCGTTTTTTGCACAAAGCGGCTGCTCTCAGACTGGAACCTGCATTATCATGCTTGTCAGCTCAATATTGTACCATTACACCAAGCAATGACCCCTAACTATGGGTGTAATGCAGCAATTAATTATGGAGTACTTGGGTAATTTCTGTTTATGTTTGAAAACGTGGTATCTAATACTAGAAGTTTTGGAACAATCAATAAAGGGTATAAAAACTTTTCACAGTCTTGAAGTCCAAAGTTCTAAAAAGTTTAAATACAAAGGTATGGAAATGAGAGATGCATTAGTAAACATCTTCTTGGGTTCTAGACCACTGATCCAAGTGAATGGAGCCTCTGTCAATGTCACAACATCATTGCAGATTATGGATGCTAGTCACTTTAGATATAGTTATTTTGGTTGTTGCTTAACATATTTTTCCAATATATCATCATAATTGTTCACACCTTTTACTGCCCTTTCTTCATTGTACTACTTCTTGCTACCATTCTTATCAGATTCTTTACTGACTTGGCCGTTTGCCAATATTTTTACAATGATATAACTTGGTATTGATCTTTTGTTTGAAGCCTGTGAGAATTGTGTGGTTGGCCATGGTCTATATTTCTTTACCTTCTTGAAATTCCTTTTTATCCTTTCTGCTTCCCTCTTTCTTCTTTCCTTTAATAGAATCTTCTGTAAGTTCTAAATTCCTTGTTTACTTAGATGATATTATATATGTATTTGGATTAAAGATGCTTGGCATCATTAGGTCTTGGAATGATATAGGAATCTTCCATGCTGTTGATCCTGCTGAGCTTCTTGTTTATATTTCATGTCTTTTTATTCCCTTTATTTGTAGGGACCTGATCTTTCTTCTCGAGGGAAAAATCTTGTGTTGGTCTTGTCTAAACTGTGAAATCTTGGAGCTGGAAGATTTGGCACCCTACCACTTTTGAACTGTGCCAATTATTTCATTCTATGCACAACTTTTAGTCAGACATGAGAAAATCAGCTAAAAGTATGGTGCAGAAAAAGGAGGCTATGTAAATAATATGGAGAAAGGAGAGATGACAAATACATTCCTTTGTATTGGCTTGCCGATTATTTTAGGAATAAAATCTAAAAGAGATCCTTGTTTATCAATACTGATTGCTGAGTTGGAAAGATACCAGCGTCTTGATTTAATACTGGCCTGCATAGACCCCAAGGGTGACATGTAATTGTTTTACTGTTACTTCATGTACATATGAATCTTTGTAACTTCTGATCTTGGGTATGCTGCCTGCCATCTCTAGTAACATTATTCTGAACATGGTCAGAAACTTTTGTTTCTCCATGGTGGGGCTAGATTTCAAGAGAAATCATTGTTTGAAGGTAAAATTGACAACTCCAGAGTAGGGAACTATTAATTTCAGCAAGTCCTGATGCGAGACTCATTATCCTGCACAACACAACGGATGTTGGCCTTATTGTTAATCAATTGCATTGGTAAGTTTAAGCAGAGCTTGCTTGAATTTGTGGCATTCTTGCATTACCATTGATATCTACTAAAGTAAACTAGGGTTAACATGTGTTTCTTGGTAAATTAATTACTAGAGAAAGCTGAGGTAGATTATCAATCTTCCTGGCTAAGTACCATTTAAGTGCCAATTGGTGTGTTGTTACCGTGTTTTTGAAAGAAAATGCTTCAATGTTGCCTCATTCATTTTAAAGCTGTGCTATATGCTGGTTTAAAACCAATGTCTTGAGAGTCCACATTGATATTGGGCAATGGTTGGAATCTTGGAAAGCATAAATGTTCTTCATTGGTCAGGGAATGCATACAGTGATAAAATTAAGTTTTGGATAGGTATTTACAATGAAGGCATAATCTCTGGTTAGCAATGCCAATATAGACTTTGATTTGATTTTGTTGTGTGAAATTCAACTCTATTGACAGTGAAATTCTGTAAGCACACAGTTTCTTATGGGATAGCACTGTTGTATTTCTGTACTTGGTTTATCTGTTGAAGTAAATCTGAAGTTGATATGATATTGACCCACAACTTGATATAGTTTGAATGGTAAGCACAAATCTTGCAACATCCAGTCTGATAGTTCCATCTTTTTTTCTCTTCCTTTCTTTCTGAGACAGCTAATGTTTCCAGCTACTTTCCAGTAGTTTAGTATTGGTTAGCATGATATTGATATCTAAGATTTTATTTATTTGTTTATCTATTACAGCTATAAGGGGATTGGAAAGATTTTGTATGGCCTCCATATTCTTGGATTTCATTCTTTCTATATGTTTAAACAATGTAAATGTGGACCCATACCAGTGTTTATTTTAAAATTTGTGTGGTTTCATTCTCTTCATTTCTCTCCCCTTTAAATCTCTCTCTTCTTTACATTGTTCTTTTTTTTCCATTTCTCCCTGTAAATCCCAATGATAAAAGGAAGACTTAAAAGGGTTTGTTTATTTGATTCTCTTCATCTCTTCAAGTATATTCTTGAAATAGGGTTTGTTTTTTAAATTTATTTTAACCTTTGTAGAGTTGCAGGTCTTAAGAGTAGGGCAACTGTTGCGTGGAACCCACTGAATTGATGCAATCTTGATGCACTGGTTTGAGCTTGACATCAAATTTTCTTGATAAATAAATTCAGGTAGAAATATGGCATGATGAGACAGCTAGTGTGAACCCATCAAAGTTTGGAATCTTGAACAAATTTGGTGGCTTCTATCCACCGAAATTACAGTATTAAAAGATAAGATATCTGGTCCATGGTCCTTGTTTTCATCGAAAAATCAGGAATGGAGCAACCAAGTATAGACCTGTACCGACTCTCATCTGGGGTAGGTAGGAAACCTACCACATAACTCTCTGCCTGGTGTTCTTACCCATTGTTTTTCTTACCTAGTCAGAGGACCACAAGATCCCATGTGAAACAGTGTCTTAAAACCCCGGAACTGGATGTCAGCTTGGAAAGTTGGCCGGGTGGTGGGTTTAGTATTCAACATTTCAAGTTTTCAACCGGCTGGTTTACCTGGTGAAATGATCAAAAGATTCAAAGCCACAAAAAATCTTCAACCCGGTCAACTGCACAAGTTGTTGATTCACTGGTTTGAGCACCTAGGTCAACGACGGATTGAAGACACTGATGAAGATTGTCTTTGACATTAAATGTGTTTTATGGACATTTTGTATCGTTGCAATGTAAATCTTACCTCATATAATAAGGGGACATCTCACATATCCCTTGTTATTCATGGGGAAATGTTTCTATGGGACTGTTATGGTTTGTTGGGACATTGTTAGGAGCATTCTGTTGATAGTAAATCTGAAGTTGGAGATGATGTAACTTCTCAAATTCACAAATGATCTGTTCTTTTGCTCTGAAATCTGACATCTCAAAGTGTAATAATTATATTAAGAGGTATATTAGTATTGGTGAACTTTTCTTTCCTCTCAACTCTGAATGAAGAGAATGTTGTTCTGAATTCTGAATTCTGAAAATGATCAAATATCCATTCTAACCCCATATATGAGAATTTTTGTTTGTCTTTGTGGAGGTATCATTGGAGAACAAAAAATTGTATGGTTGCATTTTAAGAGATAAGAGATAAAGAGGAAACGAATATCCAATTTTCTTTTATAATTAAAAGATTCCTCTTAAGAGATTATAATTAAAAGGAAACGAGCAGGCCCAAAAGGTGGTAGTAATGTGTGTTCGATTATGTTGAAAGTTGTAGTTGATTATGTTAAGCTATAAAAAGTAAGCCTTTTAAGTTGTAGTTGATTTATCAGTTACCTAGCATTTGCCTAAAAGGAAATTGTTGTGTGTTCGATTATGTTGAAAGTTTTAAGATTGATAGAATGTGTCAAGCCAAGCACTTAAACATTGAGTACCATAATATAATACCATGTTTATATGCTTATATAGTTGATGTCTCAACGACTTCACTTTGGTTATCTCTCACTAAAATAACATGAGGCTCCTGCTTCTTGGTAGATGCTTGAAAAACACAATGGTCCCAAACAACACCCAAATAAATGTAGATTGGCCCAGTAGCTGGGGTTCACTGATTGGGCTGCCTGGGTCAATGACATTGACGAATTGCAATCAGTGATGAAATGCTGACGGAGTTGGTTCCATTCCACCACTTTGGGTGGGGGAATGGGGATATCTTCAGCGCGTTGGACGCTGCTCAGGCCGCGGAAGACA